AACTTAACTTTTAATTTTATTTATTTCACTTTTTTAGACCTGTAGTTGAAGTAAGATCAAGTAGAGATAAGATATAATAATAAAAAATATTGGACTGGCATAAATATAGCCATGACATCTTTCTTGTCTTTTTCCATTAACAGCTTTTGAATGTGCAGGTTTTCACTTTGCTGCGAGACAGGTGAAAACATGGGAGTCACAGATTGAAATGAAACATGATGAGCAGTGTGAGCTTCCTGTCTGAGAACAGCGTTCACATCACCTGTTAAGTGGTAAAAGCCACTGGGGAAGTTGCACCTAACTTCCTGAATTCTTCGTGTATTGTGCTGGTTTCAGATGAGCTGTCATGCGTGAACACTTCTGACTCCTCCAGCCCTGTGTGCTGACAGTAAAAATCCCACGTGACCTGAATGCAGCGTGAGGAGTGAAGGGCAGAGCCAGGGGTGGGGGGGAGCGGCATCCAGCTGGCGATGCGGGGGTGACGGACAGGGACATTTTAATCACAGCGGGACAGGGACAGTTAGCTGGAGCTGACATCAGCCTCACTGCTGGGGGAGTGACTGTCAGCTCAAAAGGAGGGGGGGGGGGACTTCCAGTTTTGTAATGACAGATAAGCTCTTTTAAACTTTATAAGCTCAGTTAAACTCTTTGATGTTGTGACTCATTATACGTACATTTTGTTGGTGTTTCTTTAATCTGTTTCCACTTCATGTGATCACCTAGAGATTTGTTGTGTTTCTCAGAAGAATCCCAGCAGTTCATTTTGTGGTTGTGTTCAAAAATTGGTGAACATACTGGAGCGTTAAGCTGCTAAAGAAGACGGGGGTTTTCTCAGGAGCTGGTGGAGACCAAAAACAGAGCTAAAAGAGAGAGAAAACACTGGACTTAGATTCATCAGGTGGCCGGAAAAACACCTCCACATAAATACTAACATTGCTCCATCTCTCACATGTCAATATATACATATATATATATATATCAACTTTAAAGATTGTGTTTACAGCTTGTCTCTGAAGTGTCAAAAAAAGGGCATTTAATGTTGGTTGAACAGAAGTCAAAATAAAATGTTAAAAGTTGTCTAAACACTTGAAACTGTACGAGAACTTTTACCTTAATGCAATGTGTGTATATTTAAATTAGGAAGTATTTGCAAACAAGCTCACAAAACAAGCTGACCATATTTCAGAAAAGAAAAAGAGAGAAAAAAGATTGAGATTCAATTCCCAGTTTCAAAAAACAACAAAAACAAACTGTTCATGTTTTGAGGAAAATCTTTCTTAATCACCATTACGTAACCATATGAACCAATAGATACAGATGTAAAGTGGTTGACAGAACTATCTCAACTCCACCGAGTTGTGCTTATTTGTTTAAGGGCTAATTTGTCTCTTGAGACCAGCTGTTCTCAAACTGGGATCAGGGAACATGCAAGGATGTGTCATCACTTTCCACACACACACTTTAATTTTTACCAAATTTTACTTCACAGCAAAGTATCCAATTTGCTAAGACAAATCTGAATCTGAATTAAAACTTCCCCCGCTGTTAACCCCTTGTGTGCAGCGTAGATAAGTCACAACGGGTTCTTCTTCTACAATCTCCTACAAACTCTCAGGACTCACTACAAGTCCAACGAGAGCCACAAATAAAAACATACACACAGACCCGATCTCCGTCACGGACGTCAGTGTGATCCTCCAAGCATGAAAAAGGGTCTAATTGCATTTAGCTTAAGTCAGGCCACTGTGGAATACTAATATGGCTTTAAGGGCTCAGAATTAGGGCTAAGCTCCAGTGCAAAGAAAGGCCTGAATCCCATTTCCTCCCCAATTCCTCTCACTCTCACTATGGGAACCGCAGGGCCCCCCGGGGTGGACGTCCCAGCAGAAAAAAAAGGGGCTTTTACTGTATTTGTTTGTTTGCCCCAGACAGTCTGCCTTGTTGGGTCCTCTCCCACTGTGTGTGCTCTGGGCAGCCCACAGCGACATGCCTTTCACTGACACACACACACACCATCCTGTCATAAAAATGCCAGCCGGGTTCAATAAGGAGCGTGTTTGTCCGGAGCGTTTTGGAATTCCAGTCAAGCCGTTCCTCCCGTCGAAACCCCGGAGACCCTCAGAGGAAGTCAGAGAATTACACGAGTCAAATACTTCCTGTTACAAAAAACTGGCAAAAAGAAAAGAACTGGGAACATTACATAACTGCTGGGATTTGAACGACTTGGGGTTTTTGAAGGCCAAAGTAGTTTTAGATAAAGGCTGATTACAGCTGATAGATATCAGTGTCTTTATATTTATGATCATTTTGTGCAGGAAAAGAATGTTTATGAATCCACTTTTAAAAAGGTTTTAGTGTTAGTTTTTCAGTTTAAAGCATCAAAGCTGGAAATATCTCATTAAAGAGTTAGAAATATTTCCATACCGAACATTTGTTTTGTACTTAAACTCAACTTATTTCAATCAATGGAGTAGTGTATTTTCAAAAAAGGTACCTTTTTTGCGCCATAGATTTCAAGTAGGAACCAAGCAGCAACCTCCAAGGCTGAAAAGTGAAGCCAACACTGAAGTGCTAAGAACTGCAGTTCCTCTAATGACCACTAGAGCCTGGCTCCGACAGTGAGTCAATTCCCATAGACTCCCATGTTGAAATGTCCAATGTCACAGCAGAAATGGTCTCAAGAGCTAATTTCCTCCTTCATGACTGTTTATATAACTCACCTGTTTACATTTTATTAAGACTTAAAGTTATGGAGAATTGAGGGCGTGTCCTCTTTGAGTGACAGGTGGGCGAGCGTATGCTTGCCACAAACTGGCATGAACCGAAGTCTCAGCTCCACTCCCATTTTAATAGGGAGTTAGGAGTTGAGTCAGGCACTGCCAAGATGGCGACGGTGGAGCAGCTCACTCTGAGCTTCAAAACCGCTCTTCAGAAACCTGTGGGTGACGTCACGGAGGCTACGTCCATCTTTAGTTACATGGCGGGAACATGTCACAACATAGTGTGGAATGAATTTTAGCCCCCACCCCCTCCGAAAGTTTATGTGCTAATGCAGGAACCACCTCAGGTAATATGGTACTTTAGTCATGCAGATTCTCTTACAACATTACCAGGAACGAATTGCCTTACAGTAAACCTTGGGGCCCCTGTGGGTCTGTTATTGTACCGTTTCCTGCCAAAAAAACTTGTCTGATCCTCTGACAATTCATGTGTCTACTCGCTCTAAAAATACATTGGAATAAATTTAAAGTTTGCTTATTAAGGAACTGATTTGCACTGAGGCTCGATATTATACAGTTGCCACCAAACAGTAACGGCTCCATCAGTATCTGTTAAAAAAGCAGCGCCATGTTAATATTCATCCTCTTTAGTGTGTTTATTACCATGGAGTGATTCCCACCGGCTGCTTCTCCTCTCACAGCCTGGAGGTGTGATTCATTATATACCTCCATTACTACGTGCCGCTCGCCGTATTCAACATAAACACAACATGACCCCACTTAATAGTGTGTGTGTGTGCCAGCTTTGTTAACACACATCCGATGTTTGGAGCCTCTCATGGTTGGCTGCATCAGGAAGTGTGTGTGTGTGTGTTAGTGGTGTGACAGATACGAGAGTGGAAACCGTCGTGGGAAATCTGCACAATCGTGAGGTACACAGAAAAGTGGAAAGTATCTGTTTTAGTGTTTGTGTTTTTGTGTGTGTGTGTGTTTTTGTGTGTGTGTTATCACCGTGTGTCGTAAGTGCAACACACGTTAACGCTCACACAATGTTCAGAAAACAGGAAACCTGTGTGTGCCAGTGTGACATCTCTGTCACAGCAGCTCTCCGTTTAAAGGAGCTCCTGTCATTAGTGCACACGCACACGCACGCACACACACACACACACACACACACACACACAAACACAAACGCACATTATTGACTGAGGCTGAGGTCAGGCTGGCACGCTGGCTGTGCTGCAGTGAAGTGCTCCTGCTGGCCTCACCACGCTTTCTCTGACTGGTCTGAAGAGAGAGAGAGAGAGAGTGTGTGTGTGTGTGTGTGTGTGTGTGTGTGTGTGCGCTCTCCACGTCAGCTCTTGGCCCTGACACGCCGAAGGAGAGTTGGAGCAACACAAAGCGAGTCTGTCATGACAGACTCATCTGAGAACTAATCTGAATCTGTACAGGAGGAAGTTTTTAGATGATTATAAACAAAGTTAAACACATTAGATACATTCACTATATAAGTTGTTAATGTTTTATTTGTTTGGTAGTCATGCTCACGTCAGTAGCCGGACTGTAGAGGGTGGCAGTGTCAGTCCAACACTTTGGTTCAAAGCAAAAATATCTCCACAGTTATTAGATGGATAGCCATGACATTTCATCCAGATGTGTACAGATGTGTACGGACGTTTGAGCCACACAGATAATAAATCAAATGATTTTCATGATCCTCTGACGTCAACAAATGTTGGACAATTTTCATTTATGCAACACTGGAATTCATCACAGGATAGATCATCAAAGAAACGACTGAGACGAATGAATAAGAGTTCAGATTAAAGCTAACATAGCATGCTAACACGCTAGCATACTGTGAGCGTCACTTTGTCTAAAATAATTTGGCTTCAACTGTGGACAAGAGTTTACATGCTGATGTTGTTGTAAGTATGTTAACATTTGCATCTTAACATGCTATCGCTACATAGCTAGTGATAGGCAGAGGAAACTTAGAGTTAGCCCCTTTAAGTTGCTCTGTAGTCTTATTTATTTTTTGTTGTTGTTTGAAACTACTGTTTAAAATGGAAAAACATTTATGGGTGAGTCACAACAAACCAGCAGCGTGATGTGAAGCCCAGCGGGTGAATGATTTAACCTCTTGTTGTTTTTGCTGCTGGATCTGAACTCGAAACGTCCGTCAGTTATCAGAGTCTGATCACAAAGGTGTTAAAGTTGTGTGTTTTGTCATTCATCCTTCCCTCTCTTCTCTCCCTCCCTCTTGTGTTTGCTCTCCAGCGTCTGATACCGAGCAGGATGCGGCGGTGAAACTTGACCAGGAGCGGGCTGAGATAGTCGCCAAATATGATAAGGTACGGTACAACAATCTTCTTTTTTTCTTTATTTTTTTTCTTGTGGTCACCCGCAGCCAAATTCCAGTCACTCATTCACGCCGAGACTCGACCAAACCTCACAACACCGTGGTGAAATCCCTCCATAAATCTCTGCCTTATTGCCCGTGAAACACAGTAATAACAGCGTGCGGCGTGCAGAATCTGCTGCTCTGTGTTTCAAACATTTTCATTTAGCGATGCTGTGATTTTTTTTTTTGTGTGTGTGTGTGTGTGTGTGTGTGTAAGAGCCACGTTTCAGACGCAGTATTCTCAGCTAATGCATTTAAAAGGCACCATGGTTTATTCATTCATTCACTAAAAAGCAGGGTTAATGTGATGTCATTGGCACGATGTGATTTCATTGGCTGAGATCCAGAGGTGGTACTTCCTTCATCCAATGTTGTCTCCCAGCAAAAAAGCCAATACTGGCAGAATCACAGATGTATTTCATATTTCATTGAAGAGAAATCAAGATCAGTGAATTAGTCACAGGAAGTGCCACTCATAACACAACACCGATGATGTAATAGTGATGTCATCGGGCTTGCCTCGGCAGGTTTGACTCGCCTTGTGCTTGGCGACTGCTCATTTATTTTTCAGGATGACTGTGTTATAAACTGAAGGTGTGAAGGTTTGGAAGATGTGGTTGCTGCTCAGGCAGGAAGTGGCAAATGAAAGACGGCATCTCTGTTGCATTATGGGAAGTGTAGGATCCAGGTTTTTTGTTTTTTTTTTTGGAGGGAATACAAGTCGGGATGTCTCTGCTCCTGCTGTTTCTGTCTCTTGCAAATCCCTCAACCCACTGGAAGTGTGAGACTTAACTGCAGCAGTGTCCTCATCAATGGTTCGACTAACGTTTATTATCATTTGCGATTGATCTGTCGATTATTTTTTTTGATTAACTGATTAATCGAATCGAAAAATCCTTTATTTATCCTCAGTGGGCTATTACAGTGAGTTATTATTTGATCAGTCAGTGTAAATAACTTGACATATCCTTATTGTCATCAATAAATCTGTCAATTACCCTCCAATGTCTTTTTAGATATTAAACAATACAGAAGAAACTATCAATAATCAAACATCTGCTTTGATCTTTGCTCCTCTCGTCTATAGTTTCTGTAAATTTACATCAACGTCTGTGCAGGGAAATCAGACAACAACTGTCCATGGTGTCTCTAACAGTGTGTGTGTGTGTGTGTGTGTGTGTGTGTGTGTGTGTGTGTGTATGGACGCTTCATGAGTGACACGTCTATTTCACAGCTCGGTGGTATCAGTCGGACCAGCCCACCACGCTTGGTTTGTAAATTAGTCTTTTTAATTTAGTCCAGCAGGCTGCATAATCAAGCTGCCTCATTAAGAGTGAAGAGACCATGGAGAGGAGATGATGGAGGCGTGTGTGTGTGTGTGTGTGTGTGTGTGTGTGTGTGTGAGGGTTTACTGAGGTGGAATGAGACACAATCAGAGCTAAATCAGTGTCATTGTCGCTGTCGGAGATGGGAGGAGTTTAATGGAGTCAGTTATCATGCCGACCACACACACACACACACACACACACACTCTCTCACACACACACTCTCGCTGCTCGTTCTTTTGTGGACATTAAAAATGATTTCTTGTCCTCGAAGAATGCGCTGAAATGAAGAGTTTTGTTTCCAGATGACACGTCCACCCAGGCCTGACCGCCGTCTGTTTTTCACTGCTACAACTGATGCTGATAATTTTGGATGGAGGCCACTGATGGAAGATGTTTGGAGCCAAGGTTCAATAACTTCCTGCTTGGCCGGGATCAGATCAAAAATGTCACATCAGTTCAACTTCAAATCCTTTTCGTGGACACTCAATTTAAAATTCAGCAGTTCAGTTCAGACTTTGGTCCAGACTGAAATATCTCAACAAATATTCAGGGGACTGACATGAAAGTTTGTGCCGACATTTGTGATCCCCAGAGGATGAATCAACATCTCAACATCTATTGCATAAATTGCCTTGAGATTTTGTTCAGAGATTCAAGGTCCTCCCTCGATGAACTGTAGTGAGCCTCTGAACGTCTCTGGTTGGATGGATTGCCATTAGATTTAGTGCACGCATTCGTAGCTGTTCGTTGTGTTTAATGCTAATTAGCAATCGTTAGAATGCTAAGAGGCTAAACTAAGAAAAACTTTACCTGCTAGACATGCATGCTAATGTTAGCATTTAGCTCAAAGCACCTGTGTGTCTCAGTACAGCCTCACAGAGCCGCTAGCAATAAAAAATAATTCTTAATAAATCAGATTTGCCCTGATATATCTGGGTATCTAACTTATTATAAATCTCAAATGAGTTATGGTATGTCATGTTTTTATTATTCAACCTAGATGTTTTAAATTTAAATATTGCATGAGGGATCATCTGGCCATGAAACACTGACGCATTTAGGGTCACGAGATAAATCTTAACGGGTCGGAAGATGATTAAAACTCAAAACTTTGATTATTTTTTCTGGACTTTTCTCAAATATTTGCTTGTTTTGCTTAATTCTTACGAAATGGAAAAACCACAGACTTATAGTAATGAATCAGTACAAGTTATAGTAATAAACTGTAGACATGCTGCACACATGACTGAACCTCGCAGTCCATCACAGACTTGTGGTGACACACAATCACAGAAGGCATGACGGAGCGAGCGCTGAGCAGTCGGAGTACCGCTTTAATTTTCCGCTGAAATTGATTTTAAGCAGAGAGAGAAATGATAAATGTGTCAGTCGTGATGATGTGGTGCTGTTGACTCCGTGGACGCACAGGTTGGAGGGGGGGGGTGGGAGGCGGGATAAAACACTGAGGTCTTTTGACCCTTCAGAGATGTGTAGAGTAATTTATTCAACTGGTGTGTTTCTGCTGAGGGAGCAGAGGGTGAGGGAGAATATTTTACCTCAACATCTGGTCATCAGACTGACCTGTGAAGCCTACTGAGTATTTTTAACATATGTTGGATCATATACAGTGGAAACAGGCAGAGAGGTCTGGTGGCAGATGTTTCTGTACATCAGGTCATCAGTTGAAGCTGTTCTTCACATCTGTATTTTCGTAACATGTGATTTGATCCAGTTTGAAACTGAAGGTCAAACCAAAAAATGTCACATTTAAACATTTAAAGTAAGTGAAAACACTTAAATTCAGCCAAACAATCATATTGTTCTTTATATCAAAGCCCAGGGTTTCGCAACCGTAGGGTCAGGAGCCAATACACCCGAGCTTCTTTACACCTCCATTTATATTTATTTGAAAAATTCTGGTTCGTAAATCTTTCTCTTCTATTATTCAAAATTCTTTCTTATATTTTTGCATTTCTTTGAGGATTGTTTTACACAGTCGGAGCTTAATTTTGATTAAAAGACTAAATAAACAAACAGATATAATTTTGCTGTAATTGCTTTGTAGTTGTTCAACACAATGAGGCATAAATTGCTGGTTAATTAAGTACTCGTAAGTACTTGTATCACACTTGTATCAGCAGACAAACGAGCAGCAGATGAAATGACAAGAAGCAGCCAGGAAAGGAAACGCTTGGCACGATGAGTCATATTCAACATGTGCTTTAAATGCGTATTCACTTTAAAAAATATCTAAATATATATTTTCATTGCCTGCACCTCTAGGCAAAGGGAGGCAAAGATGCTGAGTCCTAACTCAGTCAAATCTGAACACACAGACCTGATCCAAATATTTTTAGATTCAGTCTGACTTACACTTTCCAATGATATCATTACCACCAATGTCCATTGTGAATAAATATCCATAAACCTTATTAGAACTGATAGAATATGATGATACTGACAATTCGGCTTCTTTTAATGATGCCAATTTGCCAAAATGTAAACAGCAAATATGGATTAGAGAAATGGGGCTGCAGTTGTTGCCCGCAGCAAAACTGCAAACCTGAGATTCCTGCAATGTTTGTGTTTGTGGAAAAACTACATTTAAAAATTCAACAGCAACATCTGTCAGTATCCTGGTGAGTCTCTTCACAGATGTTGTGAGCAGCTTTTTTTACCAGAGAAACGCGACATTTACATCTTTTTGTACTTTATGGTGTGAGCTTTATACTGACTCTTTCAACTTCCTGCCCTCTATTCCTCCATTTCTTTTTGTCGCACACTCTGTCTCTTTGATATTCTCCCCTTGCTCCTCTCCACATAATCCTCCCTGACACACACACACACACACACACACACACACACACACACACACACACACACACACACACACACACACACACACACACACACACAATCACTCTACCTGTGGGTTTTCTATTTCTTTGCTCCGTGATGGTGAATTAACTACTTTTTCGGAGGCCCAGAGTCAGACGGTGACACAGGTGGTCATCGCTGCTCGCGCACACACACACACACACAAACACACAGAGAGTCTCCTTGTGTCTCGTAAAAACACACACTCGCGCCAACACACATTCCCAAGGGCGCCGGAGTCGTGGCCGTCCGTCAAAACTCGACCCTCTGCCCCTGAGGAACGTGGTTGGTGTGTAATTTGGAGCTCAATCAGAAACCACTGTTCAGTTTAATTCAGAGCTCGACCACCGTCACACATACTGCTTCTATTGATACAGATGAATCTCTCCACTGTTTTTCAGATCAACAGATAAATCAATTTTTCGATAAAATGTCAGAAAATGTCCGTCACATCATCTGAGAATAAATGTAGTTTAGATCAATCTAGTTTTGTTGTTTTATTTTTTTCCCTTTCCTCCTTTCATTTTTACTTTTCCTCCCTAAACTTTATATATTACTCCAACTAAGAAAAGTACAAATGTCTATATTTTTTGATTGTATCAATCGTCAAATCAATTGAAAATTAAATTTCTCTATAATAAAATTATATTTTATTTGGATTCAAATTAAAAATAATGTAAATTAGAGGAGCATTAAACAGACGTTCAAGTGAAAGTTGTCTGGTGTTAAATACTATTTATATTGTTTGCTGTGTTAAAAACAGTTGTTTTACACAAGGGCTACAACTAATTAATATTTTCATGATTAATCATGATAATCTGCTGATTATTTGCTTAATTATTCGTTTTTTTCTATAAAATGTCAGAAAATAGTGAAAAATGCCGTTTAAAGCTTCAGATGACACATCAGTCATGTGTCTTGCTCTAATCACTGACCAGATGTTGAGTTAACCATTAAACATAATGTGAAATATTAAAGCAGAGAAATAAAGAAATGAGTAAATCAAGCCGTGTGTGTAACAGGAAGTAGCAGATAAGAAAATATAAATGTAAAATGGTTGAAACTATGTGACATTCACTTCAGCGTTAATGTGATTCTCTGTGTTTCCCTCCAGGGAAAAGAGGCCACTGTGGAGCCCTGGGAGGACACCAACTTCCACCTGTACAAAGTCATCGACCGCTTCGGCTTCGTCCAGTAAGAACACGCACAGCAAAAAACATCACAGCCTGTTATTATTCTTATTAAGTCAATGAATGACCTCCAAAGCTCTGCATGAACAGCAGCGCCACACTGAAGAAGAAAGGGAGAAAATGAGAGGCTGAGAGACGACTGTGTTTGTGGCTTTGGTCCGAGGGCCGGTCGGTCAGGAGGCTCTTAAACAGCGCTGTGTTGGAGTGTTATATATAGGCTGGCACATGCAGGCAGGAAACAGCGCGGTTAGCCACAATCACAGGCATCAGTGTTGGGATAGAGTGGTACGATCCGGTGGAAGATGGGAGAGGGAGGGATGAGAGGATGGTGGAAGGAGAAGAAGGAAAAATAAACCTCAGGGTTACATGATTGTTTCAGACAGGGGACAGAAGTGTCCTAAGGTGAAGGTCAGTGACTGGGCAGCGAGCGAGGAGGAGGAGGAGGAGGACGCTTCAGACTGGGAAAGACGACGACCAGTGAGCTCCATGTTTGTTGCTGTGAACCAGGTCTGCAGGGGGGGGAGGCTAGATAACTCCCCATAGACTCCCATGTGAAAATGTCCAACTTTACCACAGAAAGAAACATGTTTACAGCCTGGTGCAAACAAAGATAAATAAATTAAAAATCAATAATCCAACTGTTATTTTCCAAGCTTTATTTTAGGCCACGTTGTTGTGTAGCAGTCGAGGAGAGCGTTGGAACATGCACGGCAGATTTTCAGGTGCCCTTGTTTAAAGCCGGTGCGTCCTCTGTTTATTGTTTACTGTGCTAAATGGCAGGTAGTATTCAGAGCCGACGAACAGCAGAATGAAACCAGAATATTCATTGAACTCGTCTCGAGGGAGAAACCCGGCTGCAAAGACTCTGAAAACGCAGATAAACAAGAGCCAAAATTGAGGAGTGTCTAATCTGTTATTTCCTGTTTGTGTGACTGCTGACATGTTTGATGTTCCCTGTTTGTGATAACGGTCGGGGGGAGAGAGACGAGCTCTGACCCGGATATCAGTCGGTTGTTCCATCACTCAGTGTTTTCTGGGAGGAATCTGACTTTGAACCATGTGTTGAGCATGAAACCCGACAACTGTCAGACTGGCTGCAGAGTGATGTTTCCCTTCTGACAGACTTGGCGGTGTTGACTAAACTGTGATTCATATATGACAGAAAAGACACAAGCAGAGACGTAACAATAAGCTGGAGCTTTATAGATAAGTCCAACGCTTTTTTATCTCTTCATTCATTTACTCCCTCCCTCTCTCTCTCTCCTCAGTGAGAATGAACTTCCATCCTACGACTCGGTGGAGGAGAAGGTGAGTGACCTTACTTCTCTTTCACTTTCGCATCTCAAAACATCCTATAAATGTATCCTATGAAAAATATCACAAGATTTTTAGTCCGTATCGCGATACACAATATATATCTTTTTATATTTTATATTTTTAAAGCCTCATAAATGCACAATTTGCATAAAATCACAGCAGTATGATGATTGTAGTCCCTGCAACATCTATCTCCATTAACACATTCTTGTTCACTGTTTATTCATTAGTTGTTTCTATGGGAACAATTTAAAATTTGCATGAAAAAAGCAGGAAATCACAACCAAGTTAAATTTGACTCTTGCACATTTCTCACATATATTTTTGTTTTTCATACTGTAGCTACACTTTCCCCCATTCATATTGCACATTGTACATATTTGTATTATATTTATATTTTTTCACATTTTTATTGTAAAAATTTTACTTACCATGTTTATTGTTATGAACCAAAACACCAAAGCAAATTCCTCGTATGTGAAAACCTACTTGGTCATAAACCTGATTCTGATTGACAAAAAAACATCATCAAGAGTCCCAATATAGTCGTTTACTACATCCCAGGTGGAGAGAAGCTGCGATACGTCGGGTACGTTCGATAAATCTTCCACCACTATAAAATATCTGCCTGTGAAGATCACGGCTCTTTTAAAACCAAACAATGCCAGGAACTGAACTTTACGACTGTGTAAATCAGGAAATTGAAATTCCCTTTCTGCACATTCATGTTTGCTTTTCTACGGAAGAGGATTAATTCTCTTCTGGAGTTTTCTTGGAAGCCCTGAAATTACCTTGCCTCTCATAGCTTCTTTTCATAGATAAAAAACAAATAAACAAACAAAAACTTAGACAAATGATCCTGGCAAAAAAAATAAATAAATAAAATCACTTGCCTGTTTTGGCTTCTGTACTTTTCCCCTGCATCTGTAAAACTGTCATCAGATTAGATTAGATGATTGAAATAGTAACTGGATTAAAAATAAATTAGATTTGAGATTTGTGCACAGAATCACTGCGGTTTTTCTTATTCACCGTTACATGAATCTGACATTTGAGTGGATGTTTGAAAACCTAGTTTCCCAAAAATGCTGAGAATATTGTTGATATTACTTTGTTTTATTTAAGTTTCTATTGTTTTAATTCATTCAGTCTTTTATCATGAACATAAAGCTTCTTTGTTAAGTTTGATATAAAATGAGTGAAAATGTTTAAATTCGAAAATAAAACTCCACGACACTTTTGTCTGTAAATGACACACTTTAGTTTGTGTGACCAAAGTGTGAAGAAAGTTTAATCAGAGCTTCTCAGCAGCTTCAAACGACTTTTGATCAGAAGTCGTTCCTCTTTATCCGTCACGTCGCTCGATTCCCGTCGGACGAACACGACACAGAGGAAGTTATTAATGTGTCACTTCTGCTTTCCACGCAGCAAAAACACACGGAGGTGGAGCGGACCACCAAATGGCTGAAGATGATGAAGAGCTGGGACAAGTACAAGAACAGTGAGAAGGTGATCGTCTTCATTTCTCTGTTTGTCACCACATCTCATCTCATCCTCCTGTTTTACCGCCGTCACACTCGCCTCCATCTGTCCTTCACTGTTAATCTCTCTCTCTCTGGACACGGGGATAAAAATAGTCTGATTTTACTGAGACTCAAACAACAAACACTTCATTTTGTCCGTTTTGATGAGGGAACACTCTGGAGAGAATACAGAGAGTCATACGTCACTTTGTTTCTCTCTCTGGCCACTTTAAGTGACTCGTTAGTAAACAGTCCTGAGGCGAACAGTTATTTTCATTATTGATTAATGTGGTTTTTAAAGCAGCGGAGAGATTTGATAGGAATCACAACTTCTGGTCAGGACTTTCAGAATAAAATCAGAGTGGAAACAGAATTCAGTTTAATAAGGAAGATCGAAAAAAAAAAAGATGATCATGTGATCTTGTCGAACTTAATTACTTAATTGCCGACCCCTGATCTACGTCATCGCATCACGCCATAGCCATCGCTGCTTAAAGTCCTTACTAACAGCTGTAGAGGAGTGTCCATCTCTCTCTCTCTCTCTCTCTCTCTCTCTCTCTCTCTCTGCCTCCAACAAGGACAATTAGAGGCAGGCAGGTATCAGTTATCGCTGCCGTCATTAGCGCCTCTTTTAGGTCCAGGTTGTGTTGTGGTGTTGCCTGGAGGCGTTTCATCGTGTCCTTCATTTGTATGTGTGGTTTCAGGAAGGATATTGTGTGTGTGTGTTGTGTGTGTGTGTATGTGTGTGTGTATGTGTGTGTGTGTGTGTGTGTGCGCGCTGGGGCTTTGAAATGTATAATACACTCACGGCTGGCACTAAGAGCACAGTCAGACTCTCCTGCTCTTTGTTTCAAAAGAAATGTTTACGGCGAGTAACATCCAAGGACACAGAGGAGCGTTTACCCCCTCCTCCCCCTCCTCCTCTTCCTCCTGCATCACATCACTCTCCATCTCTTCCTCCTCCTCCTCCTCCTCTTCCTCCTCCCTCTTCATCTGTGTCTTTCTTCTTTAAAGCTTGGGGGATTTTCTATTTCTTTTTCGTCTTTGTCAGTCAGCGCCGTGCTTTCAGCTCGGCGAGGAAACAGGTCACGCTTGATGTGTCTCTTATTTTGTTTCCTCACTTGCCAGCTGCTGAGAACATTTAGCCCGCAGTAGGAAAGTACTAGAGAGCCGAGCAGATGTAAAGAAGTCATAAGCTTTTTATTTATTTATTTATTTATTTATCACCCACCCCCCCAACCTCCAGACGCTCCTCGGCCACACATGACGAGTCTGGCTCGAGGTCGTAGCGTTTAGCAGACCTGTAATACCACTGCTCCATCTTAAGGCTCAGAGCTGTGACATGATGCATCTTTGAAGTGGTGCTCGGTGATGCAGTAACTACTTCCAAGCTGCTGCTGGCTGTGGATAGTGTTTGTTTGTGGGCATGAATATGAAAAGCTCTAAAATCGCTGCTAAAAAAAAAAAAAAAGGAAAAAGTCTTGATCGTAATTGGCTGGACAACAACCATTAATTTTCTAGCAAGTGGACACGTTTAACGTCGGTCTTTGCAGCTCTAGGTGAATGTGCCAGGATTTAAAGTGAGCATTAAAAAAGAAAAAGTTCAAAAGAAAGTTCAATAACCAAAGACTTCCCAGGCCGAGTTCCCTCAAAGTCAAGGACCTAACGCGGCGCAGTTTGAGACGGGGATCAGGTTTAATTACAGTTACAACACTAAGAATAGAAGCACACGGACAACAATTAAGAAGAGAGAGAGAGAGAGAGAGAGAGAGAGAGAGAGAGAGGCTTGATTGTGTGAACGCTTGTGTTGTGTTGTGTTGTGTTGTGTTGTGTTGCCATGACGACAGACTCTGTGGTCTTTTAAAATTCAAAATCTCCAAAAAAAGAAAAGAAAAATCATCCACAAAAGCTGCACATAACATATGAATTCAAGCACTTCTCAATGACACGTGTCTATTTATGTCTGTTTTCAAAAACTTTAAATTTCTCAAATTAACAAACTTTCGACCCCATTTAACAAAATTTAGTCTGATTTATAAACTTTCATTTAAAATAAAACCTGACATGTTGGATTTTTAAGGCTGGTATCAATATTTGAGAATTAAAAAAAAAAAAAACTGATAACAATATATTGATCTATATGTCGTTTTCTAAACGGTGCTAGAGGAAAATATTTGAATGCAAAGTTTATTGTTACGGCAGGTAACAACGTGTTTTGGATACATGAGGATAAACGAACGAATCTGTTCGTTTAATAAAATCTGTTAAAAATCAGGAAAATAATGAGCGTCGTGTGTAAACAGTGAATGCAAAGAAAGACTGAAACTGCACAGATTCACTGAAATGTAAATGTTGACACAGACATGTTTAAATACACACACACACACACACACACACACACACACACACACACTCAAAGGATGATTAGCCTAACAGATGCTCTCATTGACTCGCTCATCAGAGTCTAATTACAAGGCTGTTGCACCAGAAACTAGTGAGTCCCAAGTGTGGTGGTGGGAGGCTGATGGAGTGTGGGCTTTGGACACACACACACACACACACACACACACACACACACACACACACACACACACACACACACTGACATGCAGACGAGCTGATTTGTGACATAGATGTGAACCTCTGACTCCACCTGCTTGTTTTTTCTGTTTGTCTGTTCAGTGATAAAGTTTAAGATCTACAAATGATACGGCGACATTTTAAACATATAATCACCAAATTATTGTTTTCATTATTGATTAATCTGCTAATTATTTTCTCGATAAAAAGCGACGTCTTTTATTTTGTCCGACCAACGATTCAAAACCTAAAAACGTTGAGTCCACTGATGCACGAGAAAGAAAAGTTTAAATTTCTCACATCCTGAAGCAAAAATTTGACATTTTTTCTTATAATTTCTTAACAAGCCAATTATTTGATTATTGGAACAGCTGATGATTAACATTGTGTTGATCAACTTATCAATAAATCAACTTGTTGCAGCTCTAGATCAAACAGTTCTACTTGTAGCAAAACTAAGTCTTCCATCGAAGGTCATGAAATCAGCTGCATTTAATGTTTGTTTATGATTATTTATGATGTATTGATCAGTGAAGAGTTGGTATCTCTGGTCGTATTGATTATCGGTGGTTAGTTGAAGCTGATTGGATCCTTATTAAATCTCCCAGCTTTAAAAGACGCTCAACGTTGTTGTTTTTGTGTGAGCGTTAATCCAGGCAGTTTTCGATTTTGAATGGGGGCCGTTTTGCCGTTGGAAATGGAAGTTTGACGAGGGGGTGGGGGTCATAACTCCTGATTGATTGGCTGAACAATCGAGCGATCTGGCTCCCGGAACGGATCGGACTGTCTTGTCTGTGTCCTCCAGCCATCTGCGGCTCCATATTTTCCTTGTTCATTGGAGATTTGCACAACTTTTACTCTTAGACCAGAAACCGAGGCCTCCTGAAGTCAGCACTGACCGAGCGACTCCAGCGTTGGGGGGCGGTGTTTGATAATTACTGTCGCACTAACAGGAGGACTTTTCCTTTTCAAACCTGTACAACACCACACATTTACACCCACAGCACCTCCCATATCTGCTGTAGAACTGTTCCGGCTGATGGGTTTTAATGGCTGCAGACAGAGAATTCACTGCTGCGATTAGCTTTGCTGTTCCTGCAGTTTGGGTTTGAAGACTTAATCTTCCTCAGCCGGAGTCCGACCGATTCTCCGTCTCTTTGTGAATTGCTGAATTACTCCAGACTGTTCTGCTTGCATAGCAGTCTCTCTCTCTCTCTCTCTCTCTCTCTCTCTCTCTCTCTCTCTCTCTCTCTCTGTCTCTCTCTCTGCCCACAATCTCTCCTGGAGCTCGTCCAGCCAGATGGTCGTGGTTCACCTTCCAAAGCCCTTTGCTTTTTTTCCGCTCAGGGAGCGCACCGAGTACATTAACGCATCCGCGGTTTGTATCTCTGACACCTTTGACAGGGTGAGGGCAGCTCACACTTAACATGACTTGTAGAAGTACGTAGTAAAGTAAGCAAGTAAGTAATTAAGTTTGTTTTGCCCTTGAGTAACAAAAAGCTCCAAAAAAGAAAGATTTAAAAACATCAACAGAAATCTTCCTACGTAGCATCTGCTGGACAAAATCTTGTCCACATCAGAGCTGCCACCGTTTTCAGTTACTGTCTTAAAGGAGCTATTTGTAAGTTTTGCTACTGCTACATAGCTAACGTTAGCATTAACAGCTTGTTTACTCACCGGTTTTGGCAAGAGCTTCAGCCATACAAGAGGTTATAATACGTCCTCTGAGCAGCTGCTTCTTCAGGGCAGACTGGACGCCATCGCCACCTCCAGAATCCAAGATGGTGCCTTCAAATGACTTGTTCGGTCAACCTACAGAGATTCGATTTCCATCAAACACTGGCCATTTTTATTCCTTCCTGCCGCCGACAGTCAGAGCCGGAGGCATATTGTTTTTTCACCAGGACTCAAGGATGAACTGATTCGATTTTGGTGGTCAGAGGTCAAAGGTCAAGGTCACGTTGACCTCAGAAACAACTTTTTAGCCATTACTCGAGACTTCACACAGAAATTACGACAAAATTTCACACAAATGGTTCATATTTTATGTGACTCTGGATAAACAGGGATGTAACCTGAAAGTAGTGCGAGTGGCGGAGGGATACGACCACGTGGAGGTGATTCTAGTTCTAGTAACAGCATCACTGGACATTTTATACAACTCAGTCAACTTCGGTTGTTTTACAATCACCCATATCTGCTCAGTTGCAGGTTAAGAATATTAAATGTGAACAGAAAATGTATTTTTATGTCAGGTCTTTCATATAGAAACACAGTCTCACACCCCGATGCCTGATATTTAATTAAAGGCCTGATGTTCTGTCGGACTAAACCCTGGATGAAAACCTCGACTTTGATGTGAAGGTGGAAGCTGCTGCTCTTTGAAAACCTTTCTAACAATGACTTCCCGCCGTGTTGCTTCCTTCCAGCTGGTCCGGAGGATCTATAAGGGAATTCCCCTGCAGCTCCGAGGGGAGGTGTGGTGTCTGCTGCTCGACGTTCCCAAAATAAAGGAGGAGAAGAAAGACTTCTACGAGGTACGAGACACTCCACACTCTCTGCCTGCCGGCGCTTTACAGTCCTGCTCTCCGACACCACTTTATAAACTCTCTCCGGCACGGCGGCCTTCATTACCACACAAGCCTCATAAAGATTCATAAGCGAGGCTTGGCTTTTATTTGATTTTACTGAGCTTCAATTCTGTTGTGGGTTTGGAGGCTTAATTGTGTTTGTGTGAGGCTGCACGCTGTGAAGAACTTTTTCTGTTCAGCAGCGAGACAGACTTTGGATCTCATTAGAAAAGTTTAAGCTGGCAGGATCAATACAGCGCCGCCTGGAAGTGTCGTAATTATGAGTTACAAGCAAACAGAGTGCAGAATATAAACCGTTAAAGAGAGAAGTTGTGTTTCGGTGAGCAGGGAAACTGCGGCGGTAATAAGTGTGAAAGTTAATTCCATCTGGTTGAGGCCAAATGTGTCAAATAAAACATTGAATAAATGACAAAACTGTTAAAGTACAGACCTTTTAAAACTTTTTAAAGCAAATTAACACCAGACGAACAAGAAGGGAACATGCAGAGTTCATGAAAATACAAATGATTTTTGTATTTTTGAAAAAGAAAAAGGTTTGATTTCTACAATGTTAAATTTCATTAGAACTATTCAGTTAAATTAAATTTTACATTTTCACTCAGTCTTTAATTGACAGACACAAATTAGTTTTAAAGAAAATGTTTAAACTCTGATGTGAACGTCTGACAAAAGTATGAAACTCGCTGTGTTTTCTTTTTGGAGTCTCCTCTGTCGCTGACCTCTGACCTCTGACCTCTGCCTTCAGTCTTTGTTTGTTTGTTTTTTTTCTACAGAAATTAAAAGCCCGAGCCAGAGGACTCTCCCCTGACATCCGACAGATCGACTTGGATGTGAACCGAACCTACAGGGACCACATCATGTTCATGCATCGCTACGATGTCAAGTAGGTTCCCCGTCACTACAGTCAACAAATACTGCGCCTGATTTAAAGTCAAAGGCGATAATGATACTCCGCAGAAACAGCTTTGTGGCGTTAAACGGTTTAGACTTGGTCACAACATTTACAGTGACTTAAGGATATAACTTCATTTAGTTCAAATGTAAAACGTTTGTATTATCAGTGCAGTTTTATGTTTATGAGGAATAAACCGAGGTCATCAGTGGTGAGCACGAACATGACCTTCAGATTTCAGCTCAGAGATTGTGTTGCCGGGCAGGATTTGTCCCACTGACACGACGTCAGGACGATTCGGTTCTTGTTCTATTTATTCTAAGAAAAATATACGCATCACTTTTTCTTTTTTTTTATGCACCAGATAATTTTCTCTACAAGGATGAAGAAGCAAAGAAAAACGCGAGAAAAATCACATTACATCTCTGCTGCAGAGCGGAAACACCACAGAGTCAGCACTTAGCAACAGAAATAAAGGCGATAATGCCTTTAAATGTATTTTCACACTTTGTGTAACTGTGTACTGTCAGCCTAGAGCAAGATGTTTTTCATGGTTTATTTAACTGCAGATTAAAAGTATAAATAACCAGAAGAAGGTTGTAAAACTTTCAGGTAACTGACTCCTGAAATCTGAAGCTTTCCCAGTGAGGAAGTGAGACGTCCCACGTCCTCTTTCCGCGTTTTAGACGTATGATTTTAGGCAGCAGAGAATCAGCGACGACTCTCTTATAGTCTCATACAAGAGCTACGCCTGTTTTAGTACCAGTGTAATATGTTATGATGATTGCACTTTGATTCTCACGTGAAGATCTTGTGCATCACGATCATTTGTTTCACACACCTGAGCCGCTGACGTGCAGCTCCTCGGCCGCAGGAGCCTTTAAACTGGAAGTAGAATCTGTCTGAGGTTTTTGGAAACACAGAACCGAAACTGTGAGTGACGATCACGCCTCTGTTCTGTGGGTTTTGTGTTAATTGCGGTTTGTGTTTGTTGTTCTCAGGCAGCAGGCTCTCTTCCACGTCCTCACGGCCTACTCCATGTACAACACGGTGAGTCGCTCGCTCTGTAGCGGTGCTGTGCTTCTGCATGTCTGTCCGATTTTATTCTTTGTTTCTGTGTCTTTGACGGATTTTATTTCCAAGCTGTTGCTTTAACTTTTGGAAGCGGCAGATTGATCTGTAAGGACTTTAATACTTCCAACTAAATGCAGAACTCAGAGGTAATATAATATAAGATAATACTAGTCTCACCTCGGGCACCTTGAACTTCCCATCCTGAGCGTGACGTCAGGAACATGGCCGCCGTGTGAATGTGGTCTATGGATTCACTTTATGGTTCATGGCTCATGGACACGTGTGCAGTAAGAACATACTGTTGCTCCCCCGACTGATAGGTGTGTGTGTGTGTGTGTGTGTGTGTGTGTGTGTGTGTGTGTGTGTGTGTGTGTGTGTGTGTGTGTGTGTATTTGCAGGAGGTGGGCTACTGCCAGGGCATGAGTCAGATCACAGCTCTGCTGCTGATCTACATGAACGAAGAAGACGCCTTCTGGGCTCTGGTCAAACTGCTGTCTGGGCAGAAACACGCCTGTGTGTGTAACACACACACAACACACACACACACACACACACTAATTATCTGATGCACTTATTCTACTTAAACCCCCCCGATGTCCACTGGATGTATCTGCTGGAACATCTCACTCTTTTCTCTCATCACACATTTTAACGTGTCTGAAATTCACAAAAGCACTTAAACACCTATATTTACTCCTTATATATTTACTGACAGTTGGTTTTAAATTCATATACATTTCATTTGGTCCTCACTTTGTCTCAACAGACACGGTTCATTCTTCACCTCAGAAACAGCAGTTGACAAAACAATCTGTGATTGGATAGAAAATAAGATAAACAATTGGGAGGCACAGATGGATACGAGAGGGTGTGGTGCAGAGCAGTGATGTATGGAAACCTGATAAGGTCGTTGATATGATCAAAGTGAGCTGCTGAACTGCTTTGAATGTGATTGTAAAACAAAATGCAATGAAATGCAAGCTGCAGCTAACAGCTAACGCCACAACCGACGTAAACACCCACGATCACTACACTGCATGATCTGTAGACTGTAAACATACAGACACATTTATATACACACATGTTTGAAGGGATTATCACAGACCGGGCCTGAAAGCCCTGAACATACACAACCATCTAAGGATGGCCATTTGGCCGTGGGGCAGTTTCAGCTGCTGCTGCTGCTGCTGCCGCCGTCATGAAGCTCAGCTGGAACATATTAACATCTCTGTTGATGCTGTCGGCCAGACGCTGTATGTAGCCGCAGGACGAGCAGAACAAGAGACAGCTGAAAGTTTAGATCTGAGTCAGTCCAGTTCACCCAGTGTGTCCCCTCTGTCCTCACCTGTCCCCTCCGTCCTCACCTGTCCCCTCTGTCCTCACCTGTAGGGTTTTTTGTCCCCGGCTTCCCGAAGTTGATGCGTTTCCAGGAGCACCACGACCGTATCCTCAAGAAGATGATGCCCAAACTGAAACAACACCTGGTGAGACACACGACACGACACAACACGACACGACACGAGCTGAACCATGGAACATACACAGCTATAAATAACACAGGACTAAATTAAACTGTTGACATTAAATTAGAACAAAAATATTTGTGTTTCCTGGACAGAAAACAAACTGGAAACTTATTTTTAAGCGACATAAATGATCTCGATGATACACAGCAGATACTGTGGTGAATAGACGTCGAGGATGTAAATACTCACTGGACCGATGCTGCTTTTGTCACTGTTCAACGCACTGGAATAGATTTTTCTGTTGCGTTCGTTTGTTCTGCTGCAGGACAACCAGGAGGTGTTCACCAGTCTCTACACCATGAAGTGGTTCTTCCAGTGCTTCCTGGACAGAGTGAGTACATCACCACACACACATGCACGTACAAAGTAAAAGCTAACCGGAGCTGCACTCACTTCTAGCTAATTGCATCTATTGTTAATTGTCTTTGTTTGACTACTTGTAGCTTGTTGTGCTGTTGTTGTCTCTTTGTAGACTGAACCTCTGTATGTTTTCAGCTAATTGTAGGATATTATCACTTGAACTGAAACTGAAGCAACGCCCCCCGCATCACACTGGAATCATTGTCTCTCTTAAAAACACAAACAGGAAGAAAACAAACTTCAAATCTAAAGTAAAGGATTTGTGATCACATCAGACTGTTGAAGTAAAGTCTGATGATTCTCTACGTTTCTCATTGTCATCAAATACCATGAAAAGAAACCTCCTTAGGCTCCTCAGACGTTCACGATAAACGCTCTAGTTCCTCCTGTTTGGGTAAATTGTTTAAACCACAGTTCCCAGCTGTTAAAGGAAATCACTGGACCTTTTTATTTTTTTAATTCTTTATTGTTATTAAAGATTTATGCCTCAGTAGGCGCCAGTGTTTGGGGAGGAGAGGCACAGACAGTGTTGGGATGGAACAACACATTATTGTTGTGATCCAGTCTTATACTTTATAGTAAACGTGACTCTACAGAAGTGTACGGGGGACAACAATCACAACAATGTCTCTTCTGTTTGTGTCCAGACGCCCTTCACCCTCACCCTCAGGATCTGGGACATCTACATCTTGGAGGGAGAACGAGTGCTGCCTGCCATGTCCTACACCATCCTCAAACTGCACAAGAGTAAGACAGTTGACTCCACCCCCTGATACCAGCTGCTGCTCTCCTCTCACACACAGACCAGGTCTTAATGTGTGTGTGTGTGTGTGTGTGTGTGTGTGTGTGTGTGTGTGTGTGTGTGTGTGTGTGTTTGCAGAGCACCTGCTGAAGCTGTCCATGGAGGAGCTGGTGGAGTTCCTGCAGGCGACTTTGTCCAAAGATTTCTACTTCGAGGACGACTTTGCAATCGAGCAGCTACAGGCGTCCATGACGGAGCTGAGGAGGGCGAAGCTGGAGCTGCCTGCACCAGGTACTGCCACGGCGCGACGCGCACGGTCACAGGCCGCAAACACCTCGAGCGACACGTTGAGTTGTGATTTTGCGGATGAGGGCTGATGAGGCTGCAAGAGAGAAGAAACTCTAAATCAAGATACTGCTCTGCTGCTTTTGGCTTTTCATCAAATACACATATCTATCTAAAGTAATAACGGCCCTTTACCTCAGCTAATACAACATACACAGGTATGAGGCATGAGTATGTTTATTTTGCTATTGTAAACTGAATATTTTGGGGGATTTGACTGTTACCATGAGCTTTTTGGGCTTTTTATAAACTCAACAGTTGGTTTTAATAATCAAAAAATAAGGAAAAATCTTAAAATCCTTTAGAAAACATTGAGTGATTGATGAACAAATATGTCCAAATTTAAAAAATACTAAAAACAAATGCCTCCTCAGGGATCATTGCTTTGACATAAGTGCATGTGTACATACAATAAAAAAACAAAAACAAATCCCCTGTTGTAGCCTGTAAAAAAAAAAAAAAAAAGAGACACACCTGTCCAGATGTGTCAGCACATGTATCAGCTGACGCGGCCTCCTGCTGTCCTTTAGCTTGTAGCTGTGTTTTCTAATCTTGCTCTGTCTTCTCATTAATCTGCCTTCTCTCCCTCTTCTTTCAAACAATGTTAGCCAACAACAACAAAAGTGTGGCCGTGAGTGGGGGCCACATTCCCTCCTACAACAGTAACCGGTGGGCTATCCTGACTGGTCTTCCCTCTCTACATGTCTCTGTCCATCTGTCCCTCCGTCCGTCCGTCCTGTCTGTCTCCTGTCTGTCCAACAGCACTCGGGTTTTTCCTTCACAAACTGGTCCTCCAGCTGTTTTTATACCCCCCCCCCCCCCCCCCCCCCCCACCCCCCCCCACAAAAATTCTTTCACTGAGCTCAGCTGCATTGCTTCAGTGTTGACGTGGAGTCCTGCAGTGGCTGGTTCTCCTCTTCTTTTTCTACCTTGAGTTTTCCCCCCCTCTTCTCTCATGTTTTGATTCCAACTGTAGAAACTGAGCCTCAGTCTGTAGAGGTCTTTCAGGTGACACGATGCGCCCTCTGGTGGCCAGTTAAAGGCACTGCAAGATGCTGGTTTTAAATTCCCAGTTTGAAAACAAATGTAATGTTTTGTTTTTAATCCTGCAGATTATTAAAATTATTTTTTATAAAGAAATAAGATAATTAACTTGACTTTTCTGCAACTTGCAGCTCATGTAAGACTTTAAAGACGGGTTAATATGTATGTAAGAATAATGGCTCTACACCTGTCCTCGACACTGTTTCAGGTTCCTCGTCTTCCTCCTGTATTTACTCATTAGTCCGTCAGTCGTCAGTCACGTCAACAAACCACTTTTTTTTTGTAAGATTTTTAACTTTAGATTTTTTTTTTTTGCTTTCCCCCCGGAGCCCACACAGTTTTAACAGTAGCTGTCTGTTCGTTCTTCTACCCGCTGACAAGATAATGAGCCACTTTCCCAACACTGGAGGCTTTTGTTAAACTTCCCTTTTAACAACCATCTGCAGCCACAGTTTCTGCTGCTTTTTTTTAATCTGCATTTTTGTATCTGAACCGGCTGAACTGAGAGAAATGACATCACCGACCCTTAACCGAGTTAGTAGGTTAGAGCAATGAGGAGTCGGCGAGTAAAAACTCAATTTAGACCCACAGGGTTAGGGTTAACTTTAAAAGCTGATCATTTGTCCTGATATTTGGTATCAGTAAATACAATCAGTTTGTCCCTTCAGGACACAAAGATAAGGAAAGGCTCTGCACTCTGTCCAAACCTCAGAAGTACAACATGAGCGAACCAAATTAGAGATTCTTTTCAAACCAACCTGTTCTTCTCCTGTGAACTGATGGTGGCCTGTTTGCCTCAACACAAGAGGAAGAATTACATCTGTTACGTGATGTTATGACCTTTAAAATCCACAAACATCACTTCAATTTAATCACCCTCAGACCTTTGTATGTGAGGGGAAAAAGAAACCCTGTACAGCAGCATTTATACCGTCACGGTGAAGACGCAGCTCCTTAAGGAAAGGTTAGGTTTTTAAAGACTTCACTAAACTGAAACAACTTCCTCTTTCCAGCTGTGCGAAGTAAAAACACCTGAAATACAAAAGTCATGAAGTGAGGAGGATGGAGGACAAAATAAAATCTGTTCATCTCAGATAATGCTCATATACGTTGGAGGCAGTTCACCTGAAGCTGCCAGACTTCACCCTTACACCTTACACCTGTATTAGTGTGATTTAAAGTCATTTAAACACACCTTGACTTTAAAATAATGTTAACAGTAACAATATTAGTATCTCTGTTTTTGAAGGGATGATGAAAATTAGTTTTATCTGCCATTTCAGCCAAAAAAAGACTTACAGCATATCTCAGTAAAACATCAGCAAGATTCACAGGAAGAGAAGTAGAAGTGTGATGTGATGAGGTTTACTCCAGGGCAACCAGAAGACAAAAAACTGTATTCATTTAGTTCTAGAGCGAAAACACGAACCAACTCAGATTCAGATCAACTCTCATGAGGAAGAAGACGTAGCTCAGGTCCCCCCCCCCCCCGCTGCATTTTAAAGAGGTGAAACAAGGTCGAGGTCAGAGGAGAAACCCGTCATGGACAGACACTTTAGTTGGTGGATTCAGAGCCAATGATACCGTTCATTTCCTGGATCACTCCCACAGCACTTCCTCTTCCTCCAGCTGCTGCGTCCCGACCCACGACTCTGGTGATCACACTTTCCCTTACAGTCCCCGACACATCCAGCATCACCATCACCGTGTCTGCTCACTGTCAACTGTACCTTTCATTTCTTTCGTTCAGGTATTAACCTGGAACTCGTAACGTGTTCTGGTTGTAACTTTGGTGCAAGCTGATTAGTGAAGATATATTTCTGTGGTTTTACAAGTCTCAGTAGCTTCTTTTTTTTTTTTACAAAGTACATTAATCAGGAAGTATTTCTGTATGACCTTTCGAGTCCAGGGCGACTGCTGCAGCTAAGTGCAGCTTAATGAAATGGAGTCAGACTCAATTTCAGGAACCACTCACTTGACTGTCACTTGCTAATTGAGCCCCTCCAGCGAGCTGGGAATTAATATGAAGCACTATTTTTTTCTGTCCTTTGCTCTGTGCCTGTGGAGATGTGATTACGTGTCGTCATGAGTGTAATTCTCCTTTATTTTTACCTCTCTATGGCAGTGGTGTTGCATGAATCCATGTCCCTGTCGTGACTCCTCATCCGATGTGAATCAGCGCCACAGTGTGTCCAACCATCACCGTTCGCTTTTGTTTCCTGATGATTTTTCTAACGTGTTTCCCATTGTTTTCGTCCTGCAGGTAAAGAGGACGAGTTTCCCAAGAAGCCCCTCGGGCAGCTTCCTCCTGAGCCGGGAGCAGCGGTGGTGAACCACGTGGGCAACGGCGAGAGCCACGCCGAGCCGGCCGAACCTCCCAGGGACCCGAGTCCTGCACAAGACCGCCAGCGGGAGAGTAGGCCCCCCAGCCGGTCACGCCGGGACTCGCTAGATAAACCATTCCGCCACCACAAGGCTGACAAGAGGGACGCCCGTTCCAGGGGGTCAGGGGAGATCCCCAGTGAGAAGCAGTCCACTTCCACCACACCTGAAAGGGGGGCGACACCGCCCTCAGCGCTCACCCCCACATCACAGCTCACCACAGTGGACAGAAGGAAGCCGCAGAGCCACGCCACCGCCAACCACAACTCCAACGCGGCCTCCAGCTCTCACAGAGACATAACCCCCCGCTGGTTCAAACCCTCCGAGACCAAGCTAGAAGCCGTCAAAGCGGCGGCCGCCCGAGAGGTCCAGCTGAGCAGGGGGGCGTCACCGGCCCCCTCCAGCCCAGACGACCCCGTCCTCCCCCATCGCCGACCTCGCTCCAAGGGCTTCATCCCCGGCGCCGACCGCGGCTCCAACGCCTCCCAGTATGACAATGTACCGGGGGTGCCGGAGCAGGATTTCGAGATCTTGGAGCTCGAGAGACCTCCGTCCAGAATGAGGACCCCTCGCAGTGAGACGCCCTTCAGTATGTCATCCATCCATCAGGGCAGCCCCGGCCGTGGACCCAGCCTGGCAGGAAGTGTTGTCTCCGTCGCATCAGGGGCCAGGATGCCCAAACACCCGCTTCCTCCATTTTCCCACAACAGTCCAGCGGGGATCCAGACCGGCTACCCGGGCAGCCAGAGCCAGTACCACCCCTCCCCCAGGCAGCCATCCCCAGGCAGAGCTACGACCGAGGTGCCCATCTTCCATCCAGCCTACAGCGTGAACCTGGACCACAGAGGAGAGGACAGACTCTATGCCCCACCCTCCAGATTCCCCCCACCCTCCAGCGTGGCGTACGGGGAACAAATGTACGCCACCACCCAGCGGCAGCCCAACAGCCTCTCCCCAGAGAAGGCTCTCATGAACAACTCCTTTGCCACATACCGCAGACAGCCGCCACCCGGCTCCACCCACAACCCCCGCGGCATCAGGCCTCCCCCGGAGCATTCGATGCAGCTGGAAACCCAGGGGAGCTCCACCCCCATCTACCTGCAACAGCTCACCTCCACCACACAGGTCTACACCCCGGTGGACTACAGGTTTGAGGGGCATCGGCGAGGCGAGGCCAACCCGCACTACCTGCCGGAGGGAGGGCCTCGGCGGGCCGTAGAGGGGTCGGTGTGGGCGTCGGAGGATGAGCTGCCCCCTCAGTCTCCAGGTGGGATGCCCCGCTCCCCCAGCTTCCAGAAAGCCCAAATGTCTCCGGTTCAGGAGTTCACTTTTCCCGCCGCCCCGGACGGCCTGCTCCATTACAGGACACAGTTCCAGGAGCAGCAGCCCGTCATAAGGCAACAGCTCCCCCAGCTGTTTGGAGGACCACACTACAGGCACGCACAGGAGGCGTTCGCCATGCAGGAGTCCATGCTGCTGTAACTGAACAATAAGGAAATGGAGAGACACTGTATTAAAAAATAAAAATAAAAAAAGAGGTGTAGTCACTGACACTGTGGTAAAGACGAGCAGTTGTCCTAGCTTTGTTAGGAACCTGGTTTTGTTGTTCTTGATGTGTGAAGTACTGACCTTCTGACTGTCGCGCTGCATCGTAACGTTGCAGGACACACCAGCCTCTGACGTTTTTACTGATCACTTTAAAAAGAGAAAAAAAAAAAAAAACTGACTGAAGATTTTATTTTATTTTTGGATGTAAATCATTAACGAGAGGTGACAGTATATGTCTTTTAGAGTCTGATATGTACAGTGGATTTTTTTGTTAATATGCTGAGTTGTTATCAGTAGCGGGGGGGGGGGACTCTCCCCTGAGAGAGCAAAACTCTGATTTATTTTCCATCTTTATTTTTTTATATGTTACTTACAGATATTTACATTAGAGATAAATTTACTCTATATGCTCGTGAATGTTATTTTTCAAAGAGAACAAGTGAAACTATGTCCAATTAAACAATTTAGAAAGAAGTTGATTTCCCATTTCAATTCTGAAGCGCCTCCACTGTAGAGAAAAAACAGGGTTTGTTGTATATTTTTTAGTTTTGCCTTTTTCAGTTTCAGTCAAAGTTTTCCTTCCTGATTAACTCATGTGCAATGCATTTCTCTGTCCCTTGTGACGTACAGTATGTTGGGTATTTACACATATTTGAAGCCAGTGTAGTTTTTGGTTAAGTTCCTACCCTTATTAGAGACTCACTAATTTGTGAGGGCTAATAACATATATGTATATTTTTGATTTGATGGCTTTAAGTCATCTTATTTGTGATGTAACTACAGGCAACATGTTTTTTTGTTTTGTTTTGTTTTGTTTTTTTAATTGCTGTACTGTAGCCACCACATCTTGAGCACATGAAATAGTCCCAGTAAAAATTTGCTTTACTTCATTATGTCTGATTATTCTCAACACTGTCATATCCACTACTGTTCAGCTCCTGGCACTTCTACTGGCATACAGAGTCTTCTGGCACACACACACACACACACACACACACACACACACACACACACACACACACACACACACACGCTCTCACTACATGTCACAAATGTGAGTCACACATTTTTAACATTTAATCAGTCACATTCCCTATCCTTATTATTAGAATTATTATTCCTCATTCTCTGGTTTTGATGCAGTTATTCTCAGACAGTATTGCTGTACTGTTTATTACATTCCCTAAGTTATCTTTGTTATTTGTTAAACAACTAATTGCAAACCATTCTGATACTTTGCTTAATAAAATAAGGTGGGTTGAAAATGAATCTTTGGTTATGTCCTTGCTTACCGTTTGCTACATATCCTTCTACTCTTTATTTCCACTATCAATGAAAATCTGCCCCCTGGTGGGGGCAGTGTAGCTTTGCAGGACATAAACAATAAAGGTATTGATTTAGATTTTAAAGGAGAGCCACCAAGCGATTGTTACACGAGTAAATGAATAACGCACACACAGTATATATAACCTCTCATACGCTATTTTGATAACATATTCATCATCATTTATCCAGCTGATATATCCAACATTCACTGGTTCTAGCGTCTCTGCTTTATTATTATCTGCTTTATTTAACCATTTTAACTAACTAACTGTGTATGAAATATCTTTGGGTTTTAGACTGTTGGTTGGACAAAAAAAACAAAAAACAAAATAATGTCATCTTGGGGGTCTGGGAAATTGTGATGGGCAGAAATGTCACTTGATGAAGTTGAATAACATATTTAAAATTTTTGTTGTTAAACTTGACAGTAATTTTGTCCCCATTGCCATTAGGCTTTATAGCAACTCAGCTATAAAGAAAGTGGCTAATGACCTTGACTAATTTAACAATTATTGTTTATTTTTTTTATTATTTACTATTTTTATTATTATTACTAATGAGCTGCTGGACACCTGAATTTCTCCTCTCAGAGAAAAAAAAGTACTCAAGAACACACATACATGCACAAGGGGTGTAGGTTTGCATATGGACAGTAGGGACATGTCCCTGCCAATAGTTTGGAAGGACAGCATTGTCCCAACCAATGTATAAGGGAACTTGTTCGCACTATGTTAGGAGTGAAGTTATATTAGATTATTCCAATGTGCCCTCCAAGAGGCTACGTCTGCATGTCAACCGATTTAGGCATGCTAGCATTTGATAGACTGAAAGGGCGGGGGCTATCTGAGGGTCAGGTCAGGTGAGTATTTGACAGTGGTACCTAATGTCACCAGAAAAATGTCATTGCTACTGTACTTACTATTATTGTTAACATTTACATTTTAAATAACCAAAGTCCAGCTGTTCTGATGTTAATGTGTAAGTTAGTGTAACACAGGATATTTTCTTAAAGGTTTACTCTTAGTTCTGGTACTGTGCAGAGTTTTATATAAATGCAAAGGAACCCTTACGTACACATTATTTTTCTTAATATATTATGACGTTATTATTACTTTTTATGAATAACTATACTATGATGTTTTTGTACCAAGCTGTACTGTGACGTTTTTTGACTTTTTATGCCAAACTATAATATGACTTTTTTTTCTTTTTATGCCTTACTATACTATGAATTTTTTCTGACTTTTTATGCCTTACTATACTATGTTGTTTTTATGACTTTTTATGACTTACTATACTATGTTGTTTTTATGCCTTACTATACTATGTCGTTTTTATGACTTTTATATTATGACTTTTTTATGCCTTACTATACTATGACTTTTTTTTTTATGCCTTACTATGCTATGAATTTTTTATGACTTTTTATGCCTTACTATACTATAACTTTTTTTTTTTACGTCTTACTATACTATGACGTTTTTATGACTTTTTATGCCTTACTATACTATAACTTTTTTTTTTTTACGTCTTACTATACTATGACTTTTTTATAACTTTTTATGCCTAACTATACTATGACTTTTTATGCCTTTTTATGCCTTACTATACTATGACTTTTTTATGACTTTTTATACTATGACGTTTTCATGACTTCTTTGCCTTACTATACTTTGACTTTTTTATGCCTTACTATACTACGTCGTTTTTTTTACTTTTTTGCCTTACTATACTATGACTTTATTATGACTTTTTATACGATGACTTTTTATGGCTTACTATACTGACTTTTTTATGACTTTTTATACTGTGACTTTTTTATGACTTTTTATTCCTTAACATACTATGTTGTTTTTTTGAATTTTCATGCCTTACAATACTATGTTGTTTTTATGCCTTACTATACTATGTTGTTTTTATGCCTTACTATACTATGTTGTTTTTGTGACTTTTATATTATGACTTTTTTTATGCCTTAAATATACTATGACTTTTTTTTATGCCTTACTATACAATGTCGTTTATATGACTTTTATGCCTTACTATACTATGACTTTTTTTTTACTTTTTATGCCTTACTATACTATGACTTTTAATGCCTTTTTATGCATTACTATACTATCACTTTTTTATGCCTTGCTATACTATATCGTTTTTTTCACTTTTTTGCCTTACTATACTATGACGTTTTTATGACTTTTTATGCCTTACTATACTATGACTTTTTATGACTTTTTATGCCTTACTATACAATGTCGTTTATATGACTCTTATGCCTTACTATACTATGACTTTTTATGCCTTTTTATGCCTTACTATACTATGAGTTTTTTATGACTTTTTATACTATGATGTTTTCATGACTTCTTTGCCTTACTATACTATGACTTTTTATGCCTTTTTATTCATTACTATACTATGACTTTTTTATGCCTTACTATACTATATCGTTTTTTTCACTTTTTTGCCTTACTATACTATGACGTTTTTATGACTTTTTATGCATTACTATACTATGACTTTTTTATGACTTTTTATGCCTAACTATACTATGACTTTTTATGCCTTCTTATGCCTTACTATACTATGACTTTTTTATGACTTTTTATACTATGACGTTTTCATGACTTCTTTGCCTTACTATACTTTGACTTTTTTATGCCTTACTATACTACATCGTTTTTTTTACTTTTTTACCTTACTTTACTATGACTTTATTATGACTTTTTATACGATGTCGTTTATATGACTTTTATGCCTTCCTATACTATGACTTTTTTTGCCTTACTATACTATGACTTTTTTATGCCTTCCTATACTATGACTTTTTTATGCCTTCCTATACTACATCGTTTTTTTTACTTTTTTTCCTTACTTTACTATGACTTTATTATGTCTTTTTATACGATGGCGTTTATATGACTTTTATGCCTTCCTATACTACATCGTTTTTTTTACTTTTTTTCCTTACTTTACTATGACTTTATTATGTCTTTTTATACGATGGCGTTTATATGACTTTTATGCCTTCCTATACTATGACTTTTTATGCCTTACTATACTATGACTCTTTTATGACTTTTTATACTATGACGTTTTCATGACTTTTTTGCCTTACTATACTGTAATTTTTTTATGACTTTTTGTACTATGACTTTTTTGCCTTTTTTGCCTTACTATACTATGACTTTTAATACTATGACTTTTTTATGACTTTTTATGCCTTACTATACTATGTCGTTTTTGTGACTTTTTTGCCTTACTATACTATGACTTTTTTATGACTTTTTATACCTTACTATAATATAACTTTTTATACTATGACGTTTTCATGACTTTTTTGCCATACTATACTATGACTTTTTTATGACTTTTTATACTATGACTTTTTTATGACTTTTTATGCCTTACTATACTATGACTTTTTATACTATGACGTTTTCGTGACTTTTTTGCCATACTATACTATGACTTTTTTATGACTTTTTATACTATGACTTTTTTATGACTTTTTATGCCTTACTATACTATGTCGTTTTTGTGACTTTTTTGCCTTACTATACTATGACTTTTTTATGACTTTTTATGACTTTTTATACTATGTTTTCGTGACTTTTTTGCCATACTATACTATGACTTTTTTATGACTTTTTATACTATGACTTTTTTATGACTTTTTATGCCTTACTATACTATGTCGTTTTTGTGACTTTTTTGCCTTACTATACTATGACTTTTGTATGACTTTTTATACTATGATGTTTTCGTGACTTTTTTGCCATACTATACTATGCCTTTTTTATGACTTTTTATACTATGACTTTTTTATGACTTTTTATGCCTTACTATACTATGACTTTTTATACTATGACGTTTTCATGACTTTTTTGCCATACTATACTATGACTTTTTATGACTTTTTATACTATGACTTTTTTATGACTTTTTATGCCTTACTATACTATGTCGTTTTTGTGACTTTTTTGCCTTACTATACTATGACTTTTTTATGACTTTTTATGCCTTACTATACTATGACTTTTTATACTATGACGTTTTCATGACTTTTTTGCCATACTATACTATGACTTTTTATGACTTTTTATACTATGACTTTTTTATGACTTTTTATGC